GCCAGGCACCTAAGTCTGTGGCCTTTGAGTAAAGCAGACGGCTCTGCACACAGGAGGTGGGCTCATCCCAACAGCTGGAGGTCTGAACAGGGAGGCTGGCCTCCCCCATGCACCCAGGAGCTCTGGCCGTGGCCTGCAGCCTTAGCTCTGACATAGCAACTCTTGCCCCAGTCCCCAGCCTGCCGCCCTACCCTGCAGATTTGGGACCTGCCAAGCCTCTGCAATTGATAAGCCAATTCCTTAAAATAAATCTCTCTCAATATATGTACATATTTATTTATATATACACACACATCCTGTGGGCTCTATTTCTCTTGAGAGCCCTAATACAACCTATAAATATTCATGTGCCATATTTACCCTTACCAAAGACTTCCCAGTGCAAAAAAAAAAAAAAAAAAAAAGCCTTAATATCATGCTGCACACAAACACTTAATTTGTGGCTGTTGGTCGTTCTTCCTCAGTCAACCAGAAGGCAGGGGTGATAAATTATTATTATCAACATCAGCAGCACTGACTTCCCGCCCCGATGTGGTGGAGCCCTGGGCGCTGGGTCCACGTCGTGTGGTTAAACCGCGCGGTTAGCAATCCTGGCTTTAGAGCCCGGAGCCAGCCTTAAATCATGTCTGCGCAGATACAAGGAGACGTTTTGTTCACTAATTCCTGACTATGAGACATTATATTAGAATTTTAAAAGAGAACCCACATACGCGGTAAAAACAAAATTCAAACGGTAACAAGTGATACTGAATGAAAAAGTCTCCTATTGAGAGCAGTTCAGAAGACAAGGGGGTGCCCAGGACACCTCCTTTTTCTTTTCTTTTTCTTTTCTTTTTTTTGGTTGGTCTCGGCCCCCAGTTCCTGACAACAGGGATCTCAAAACCCTCGTAATCTCCCCGGGGGGCACGAGTAGCTTTCCTTCAACTGAGGTGGCTGTGGGTGGGCTCCTGGGTCACTCCTGGTGGGGACCGAGCCATGATTGGAAGCTTGGAGTTTGCAGCCCACCCCTCCTTCCCCCCCATTCTCTCTCGAGAAAGTCTGAAAATAGACTTAGTGATCTATCATGCGGACATGATGGAGCCCCCATCAAAATCCCAGTAGTATGGGGTTTGGGGAGCTCCTAGCTGGGTGACACATGACACACGCCCCCGTCCCCCAGGGCAGAAGATCCCATACATCTTCACTGGCAAGTCATCTGCATCCATCCTTTATGATATCCTTTAATAAAATGGTTAAGTGTACATGTTTCTTTGAGCTCCTCTAGCAGATTAATCGCACCTGAGGAAGGGGGCGGTGGGAACCTCCCATTTGCTATATCAGAGAGCAGCTGTGGGTGACCTGGGGACCCACTCATTTGCAATGGGTTCTGGAGTGGGGGGCAGTCTGGTGGGACCGGGTCCTTAACCTGTGGGCTCTGACAGTGTCTCCAGACAGATCGTGTCAGATTTACCTCGATCCTGGGGAAATCCTGGAATCAGCCACTTCCCCAAGGAGCCCTCCTTCCTTTTTCGTACAGAATGGCATTTAAAAGGCAAGAGCCAGATGGTAGGAGTGTTGTTAATGGGGTTATTATGGGTTGAACTGTATCCCTCCCAAAAGATATGTTTAAATCCTAGGCCCCGATACCTCTGAATGTGACCTTATTTGGAGGTAGGGCCTTTGCAGATGTGATCAGTTACAATGAGGTCATGCGGGATCAGGGTGGGTCCTAATCCAACAATCTGTGTCCTTGTAAGGCCAGGTGAACACACAGCACACACCAACTGTACATCTACTCGTATCTCCATAAGATCTGTATGTATGGCAGACTGGGAGTCCACACTGACACACTCAATTTCAATCCAACACCACAGAATTCTAACTCCCTCCCTTCCCGTGTTTGTAAATCCTTTCTCCAAAAGTGAAAATGCCAGCTCTCACTATCCACGACGCCATCCCACACTTGATCCCCCCACCCCCCGTATGTGACAATCCGCCCCCCCCCCCTCGCCCTGCGTCTGCCAGCCCTGCTCGGACACCCGCCCGGCCGTCCGGCCAGCCCCTCGCCTCCAGCGCCAAGCCAGGCCGCCCCGTCGGGGCCCCTTCTCAGCCCGTTGGGCTCCAACAGCAACCCACGCGGGATCGGACTGCTTGTTTTCAAACTTTGCATAAAGAGTGTGCTGTGTCTCTTCCTCTGCAATCTGCCCTTTCCACTCGACATTATGTGTGCAAGATTCCTACTGACACGTTTCCCTTTAGGTCCTGCACCGGCGCCGCTGTATGGCGTTTCATATGTGAGCCCGCCTCCGTTTACGAGCCTTGGTCGTTCACAGGCTTCTGCTAGGACCTTCTCGTCCTGGTCTCCTGGCGTGCGCCCCGGCAGGGGTGTTTCTAGAGCCCATCTTTAGGGATGGAGTCGTCTCGTCCTAGAGCATGGGCATCATCCCCTTCACTAGATAAAGCCAAAATGTTTCCCAAAGGGGCCTGCTGGTTCTCTCCTGGGACCCCACCAGCAGAGTGTGAGTGGAGTTTCTGCTGCTTCACCTCCTCGGTGACCCTGGGGCACTTGACCATTTACGTGTGCCTGCCGAGTGGTTTCGCTGTCTGCACACTCAGAGCTGATGACTGGCATGGGCCGTCTCAGCCACTGTTCCCACCGCCTCCGAGGCGGGCGCGCCTCGCCACAGGGCGGACTGCTAGTGGCCCACCCCGAATCCATCTTTCCTTCTTCCCCGGTTCCTGCATCACAATAGAGGTTAGGGCTGCAAGCACGGCAGCCAGCCCGGCCCCTCTTCTGAGTCTCCTGTGACTCAGGTCTTGGCAACGAAACATAAGCAATGCTGATGTGTGGCGTGCCCAAGTATGGGTCTCAAAACATCGGGCCTGGCTCTTCCCCCTTCTTGCCAGCCCAGAGTCCCACGTGACCACGATCTGGCTTCTAAAGCCACACAAATAATGATGCCGATCTGCAGGGAGCCGAGCAGCGGGACTGAAGAGCCCGAGACCCTCGGTAACTGTAAGGAGCAGGACCACCCGCTGCTCTGGACCGTTACCAGGGAAACACACTTCACCCCAGAGCCAGTGCACCTCTGGGTTTTTTGGATGTGGAGTGTAGTCTTCACCCCAATACATTCCACCGCCAGAACCCCCCACCCCCACCCCCAAGGGGCTGTGGGAATTCTCAGGGGACAAAGTCCCACGTGTCACCCTGTCCACACTAAGTGAAACATGAAAGCCTGCACCCACATCCTCCCTGTGTGGGCATTTCTAGAACTCACAAATTCTTTCATTTTTCCCCCTTGGAATATTCCCAAGATGATTATGGAAGGAAAAAGGGGGGGGCTGTTTGTGGCCTTTCTCCTCCTCCCCAGCCTTTTCATGTACACTATACATGCTTTTCATGTACACTATATTTTAAAAAAACTGACATTGTCTTTCCATAATTAGCTCACCAAATGGTTAAACCAACACTGCGCCCCCTTCTGATTTCGTTCTGGAGTTGGGCAATGCTCTCCAGACCATCCTTCACATCAAGAAAAATGTAGGGCATGTTGACAGACGGTGGCAGGTTAGAACCCAGGAGACGACAAGGTAGGACTCGGTGCTCATCCGGCCGGCTTTGTAAAAATGGCATAAAACGATCTCGTAGCAATGGTGACCGCATGCCACCAAATCACAGAGTTTGGTCAAATTGGTTTTATGCACTTGAGGTAAAAAAGAGCAAGGTCAACGTGTTCCTAGGTGGGCAGAGAGACAGACAGGGCTTGGAGAGTGTCTCTCCACCAGAGAGCATAGCCCTGAGCGTGGGCACCGAGGGCCAGAGCTGGTCCCAGGCATTCATCTCCTCTCCCTTTCCCTCCCCTGGGGGCTCGAAAGTTTCTCTGTGGTGGCAGCACACAAGACCCACGCGTTTGCTAATATGAAACACTGAGGTATGTGCTACCGCGTCTATGCTGGGGCTAACCAAGTAACTGGGGGGCAGAGAGACGGGCCCCTGTCACAGAAGACACCCTGGGACAGCCAGGCCCTTCAGAGCCGTACCTGCTGTCCTCGCCACCTGTGCTGGGCTCCGAGCTGGAGCGGACACGGGGCCCAGGGTGTCGTCCTGTAGCTGGACCTCAGCAGGACTCCTGGCTCTCTGTGTTTGTGCAGGGACACTGGCGCCGTCCTCAGCTTCGCACACAGGCCGGTTCTTTCTTGTTCATTCTGGTGAGTAGGAGGATGGCAGGTTTTGTAATGATGGCTTTTTTCTTCCCTCAGGCCAGCAGTCTGGTCTTTAACCTGTGTCTCACCACCGCCGCGTGTCTGCCGGGCACTCAGCGCCCTGCCGATGCAATCCGCAAGCTTTACTTGCCCTTAAGAACCGATAATCTCGGGGCGCCTGGGTGGCTCAGTCGGTTAAGCGTCTGCCTTCGGCTCAGGTCATGATCCCGGGGTCCCGCATCGGGCTCCCTGCTCAGCGGGGAGTCGGCTTCTCCCTCTGCCTCTCCCCCTGGCTTGTGCTTTCTCTCTCGCTCACTCTCCCTCTCTCTCTCTCAAAATAAATAAAATAAAAAAAAAGAACCAATAATCTCCCCAACAATCAAATTTTTACTCAAACTCTTTATACGATAATTTACTCTTTTATTACAAGTTTGTTTTTTCTGATTATTAACTAATACATGCTTGTTTTGGAAAATGTAGAAATACAGAAACGTATAAAGAAAATTAGAATCTCCCATAATTCCACCGTCAACCACGGCTAATCGCTCTGCACGTTCTACTCTTGAAACACTGAACCTTAGCTCACTGGAACTTCTCAAACCTAGCCAGAGGCGGTCTTTCTTCAAAGCCTTCGCGTCTTTTCCACAGAATAGAAAATGGGAACATATAACATAAAAAACATACTCAACCCGAATGAGGTTTCTTTACAAAGTAGTTTCCTATAAAATCTCCATTTTTTCAGATACCTAGGAGTCAGAGACTTGAATACAGACCCTCGAGCATTTAGTAAAAGAAGAAGAGTAGAAAGGGCAAGGGGCTCATCTCCAGATGCCCCCCCGGCTCCTCGTGCTGCTGGGGGCAGGGTGCCCGCCTTTCCTGCGAACTGGAGGTTTTTCAGTCTTCGGGGCTGGAGCGAGGCGGCGAGGGAGCACCTGGGAGGGGATCTGGGGTGAGAAGGAGGAGGGAGAGTTGGCCTCCCGGCCACCGCAGAAAAGCACCGAGCACGAGGGGGCCACAGTCAGCCAGCAGAGGGGAGAGACCGCGCCGCCGAAGACGCACAGGAAGCAGGGGTCGGGCAACAGAGAACAGAGCCGGCCGGGGACCAGTCAGCAAGGGCCCTTCCACGCCCCCACCCCTGCCCTACTATCCCTCACCTCTTTCCGGGGGATCTCACCCAAGCGGGAGTCTGTGCTCCTTCTGGGGACAGTATCCCCTCGGCTGTCCGTCCTGCCACACCAATGGAGGGATGAGGATGGGGAGCTGCCCCCCCCCCGCCCCACTCCCCAGTCCGTCTCTTGGGAGGAAGAACAAACGAGACGGACCTGGGGATCAAATAGGAAGAGACTCTGGCAGACTCGCTAGTGAGTTATACTAGGAGGTCACAGTCCTAGATTCTGAGTTCTGAGCCGCAGGGTAAAGAGGAGAAAACTAAGGTAGGAGGACAGGAAGACACGGAGGTGGTGTTTACAGGTGAGGAGACGGACACTAGAAAGGAAGAGACCAGAGAGAGGCGGGAGCAGCGAGGGACAGAGGAAGTGGAGACCATGGGCCCACTGCTCCCCGGGCTTCCGTCCCGGGGCAAGAACAACGGATGCTTCCCGGCGGACCCGTGGACCACACCCAGCCAGCTCCTCCCTGCCCGAGCTGGGCCGCCCACGGGCCTGACCCCCGCCGTTCCCCCCATCCTCCCTGCCCTCCAGGCTGGTACCTGCCCTGTTCCTGCCTCTTCAGGTAGAGCAGCAGGTCCTCGGCAGGCAGCGCCCCCCAGCCCCGAGCCTGGTACAGTTTTAAGAGCTGAGACACATCCATCAGCTGCCCCGCAGGAGCCAGCCCGTCTCCACCTGAGAGGCGCGTCGGGAATGCCGGTCACCCTGGGGCCCCGGCGCCACCTCGCTGGGAACCCAGAAGGGCCTTCAGTCCCAGGTACCGGCTTCGCACCCAAGACCTCCCCTGTCTACATTCTGGGAAGCCAGGGCCCACGTACCCCTCTCTGGGGAGCCACCGCTGGGACCACTGCTCTGGGAGTGGCTTGAGGGAGGCTCATGCACCCGGAAAAGACTGGACGCCATGGCTAGGGGCACTTTGGTTTTGTGAACAGGGGGTGGGAGGTGTGGCACGTGCGGGGCTGCTTCCTCCCAAGACGGGCCGGCCAGCGGACCTAGCAAGAGGAAAGAGGTGCGAGAATCAGGAAACAGGGCAAGAGCCAAGGACACCCCATCACCCAGCCCTTGTTAGGCTTTATGACCTTTGCCAGCTCCCAGAGGTCTGCTCCGGACAACCAGCTCCCACCTTCCCCACGCCCGGCCCCAACCTTCTTCAGAGTTGGCCCTCACCGGACTTCGGGGGCAACAGATCAACAGAGGGGGCCTCGCTGTTCTGGGGTACCGTCTCCAGCAGCTGCGGGGGGACAAGACAGTAAGGTTCCCGGAGGACCAGTCAGGAAAGAGACCTGCCTGGGAGGGAGGCAGGGGCCGGGGAAGTTCCAGAAGGGGCTTCCGAGACAGGAATCAGACAGACTGGGACAGAAGCTCCAGTCCCGAAAGGGGGTGCAGCTGCAGGAGGAGAAAATGAAGACGGGGAGAAGGAGGTGAAGAGGGACGGGTGGGCCCTCTCTTACCTGGTGCAAAAAATGCTTGAGGCCCTCGAGCTGGGAGGGGGCCGGCAGCCCCTGCTTGAGGAAGCTGTCCCCGTCGGACCCAGGATCTTCCTCAGGGAACGGCCGCTCCGGCCTGTGGTCAGGGTGGAAGTCCCCGGCTGGAAAGTGAAACGGGGCCGCGTGTGTGTTGTAGGGGAGGGGAGTCCTCCCCAAATCAAGCCCCCAGATGCCAGGGAAAGAGGCCTATTAAATACAGCAGGGGCATCCCAGCTGGGAGAAGTTTACAGCAGTTGGAGAGAGAAGGCACAGCTGAGTCCTGAGAAGTCTGGGCAGGAGGGGAAGGCTGTGCTACTGGGACTCTAAGCAAAGAAATCCCACCACAAACTCCCTAAAGAACAGAAAGCAACGTTCAGAATGGCTTGGGATTAAGAGACATGCTCGGGCCCTCGTTCTCTTTAACTGTAACTACAAGATTTTTACAATCGGAGTCGTGATGTAATCCGTCCCTCATTCTTCCCCGGCCCCGGGCTGTGAGGTCTGCACCACACAGAGCGCCGCCGTCCACCCAAGTCCCCGCTGACCGAGCCAGGAAGCAGCCCTGCACCCAAGGAACGCTCACCGACCCATCAGAGCGCCTCTCCTCGAACCGGACACCAATGTCTCTCTACGGCTGTCCAGACTATCGGCTGGAGCCAGTGTCCCAGCTGGCCAAACCCACGTGCCAGCCGAGGTGAGGAGAGCAAGAACCTGAGAGAGAGCGCTGGGCTACCAGGGAAAGGAGCTGCGCAGGGAGGGGCGGTGGCAAGAGCCCGCACGGCCCCGAGGCCGGTTCTCATCACCCCAGTGACATCAGACTCCCATGAGCTCCCACTCCCTTTATTCGAACCCTGCTCCTTGGACCTTCTGGTCACTGACACGTCTGGAAAACTAACTGCTTGAGCCCCACACAGAGAGGAGGTAACAGGGAGCCCAGGAGCGCGTACGCGGGGAACCCCAGTGACGTGCGCCCCCGGTTACCCGAGGATGAGGTGAGGCCCAGCTTCGGCTCCAGGGGCTGGAAGGAGTGCTGGCTCTGGAAAGGGGGGCCCAGCAGGAGGCTGAGGTCTGGGGAGGGGCTGCAGAGGACAGGTGGGGCTCCATGCGCCTCATCCCCCGCTTCCCGGCTCTGCTGCAGGACGGGCTTCAGGGCCACGGCCACGGGAGGCAGAGTCCACAGCCTCCGCTCCCCCTTCTCTGGCTCCCGAGGCCCAGGGCTGGAGGGCCTGGAGGTAGGAACCTGGGCACACGAGAGGCAGAGAGAGGATCATGCTCTGTGCACATAAAGACCCGAGACAGGACGCAGACGCCTTGATGCCAAGGTCAAGGCGGCAAGTGAGTAGGAAGTCCCGAGGAGGGGATCTGGTAACATCTACCACCTTCCATCCCATTTTACAATGCTTATTTTTGACCTCACGATTCCATCTCCAGAAGCTGGAAAGATAGGCTTGCACAAGGACATCTGTGAATGATGTTTACGTCAGCTCTGGGCGTGGAAGCCGGATATAGAGGCCGACTCTGGTGTCCACGAATAAACACTGGGCCAAACGAGAAGTTGTGCGGCCACGCACGGGAGGCCACCCCTGGGGCCCAGAGCGAGTGGGGCAGGGGAGAACGGTGAGCACTTCCCACTGCACACCTTTTCAAACTGTTGGGATTTCCTTTTTTACCACGTGCATGTTATGATCTTTTCCAAAAAAGATTTTAGCTTAAAATAAAAACTGAAGAGTACAAGGAGGAAGCGGAAGATGCCACCAGAATAAGGCAAGGGTGAGACTCCTCTAGGGCCGGGGGAGGAGAGCTGGGCCCCACAGCCAGGGCCGGCCTGGGTGAGCGGTGACCACGGCAGAAAGACTTCCTTCGATGAGGCGGTTCTTCAAGGAAGCACACGGGGTTGCGTCCCCCTAACGCGGTGCTAGGACCGAGCTCAGGACCAGCCGCGTTCGAGGGGCGATGCCTACCGGGGGGTTTGGAGGCAAGGTGGGGGCGCTGAGCAGCTGGCTGGCCTCCTCCCAGTGGGCGTGCAGCATGGCCTGGAGTCGCTCCACCAGCTCGGCCCGCTGCTCCTCCAGCTGCTGGTGGCCGCTCTGCAGGTCACGCACGCGCGCCTGCTCCCGGGCCAGTCTGCTGGGGGGGGAACGGCAGAGGGGAGGGCGGCCTCTGAGACTATGCAAGGGGCCGGGGCCACTGCAGACGCGGACAGGCCCCCAGGCCCCGGTTGGACTCCGCACGGGAACGGACGGAGGCCTGGAAGGGCTGCGCAGGGAGCTGCACCTGAGCTCGTAGTCCTGCGCCAGCTGCTGCTGCCTTTCCTCTCGCTCGGCCAGTTCCACCTTGAACTGAGCCAGCTGAGTGGACAGTTCCCGCTGGTGTTGTCCATTCAGGTCCTGCAGCTGCTTCCTAGGAGGACACGGGTGAGGAAGGAGGGCTGAGCCTGGAGACCGACGTCATCAAATGGGAAAGGGCCAGAAGGTGCGCCTGGCACGGCGAGAGCGCCTGGGAAGCAGGGAGGGGACAGAGCGGGTGTCCCGGGGCCGGGTCCCCAGAGGCAGAGACTGGGGTGAGGATGTATGGGACAGTGGTTCACTGAAGAAGCATTTCCAGAAAACGACTGGTAGGGAAGAGGGCATGCGGGGAGTGGGCCTGGGAGGGGCGAGGGAGGGGCAGCTCTGTGCCATCCCTGTCAAGGCAAGGGCGCTGGGGACTTGGACCTGAGGGCAGCCAGGAGGGAGCCTGTGGGCTGGAGGCACCCGAGAGGATCCGGAAAGTGCCGGGTACCTGTGATGCTCCCGCAGGGAGGCCGCCTGCTGCAGGCTGCTTTCCTGGGCCTGCGCCAGGCGCTCGCTCACCCGCTGCTCCAGCTGCAGGGTCATCTCTGACTGCAGCTGGATCCGCTGGCTCTCACACCGCGCCTGGGGGTGAAGGAGGGCGAGAGCTAACAGCTCCGTCTGCGCCTGATCCCTGCCCCAAGGACAGAAGGAGGCTCCCACGCGGGACTCGGCGCTTCACTGGCGCATGAAAGGAAAGGTGGCGCTGGATCAAAGAAATATATTTAGCCAACAGCAGCGGTAGACAGAAGGAGCCCATCTCTAGGACACGCAGCAGGCGTCCCTGTCCCCTCCTCCTAAAGCAGGATCGGGCTGCATCCGGCCTCTTCTTTCTCACCTCACAGTCCTTCTGCAACTCACTGAAACCTGATTTCCCCCTCCCAGGCCTCCAAGACAAAGAGCTAAACTTCCAAATCCCACAGTGATGATTTCTCTTTGTCTTGTGAGGCCCCCCTGCAACACCGGCCGGCCGCGTCAATCTCCTCTGGAAAAGCGCGCCTCCCTCACCCCTGCCTCGCCAGCCGCCAGCCCCGTGACCTCGCGCCCCTGGCTCCCTGGCCCCAGCCCACTGCTCTTCCTCCAAGTGCCCGGAGGGGCTGAATGCTTTCCTGAGTTCTGTCCTCATTCTACTCTCTGACCTCGTACTAACTAGCATTCTGGGTCCAGGGCACGGGTGCTTTGACACGTGTTTAATAAACACGGAGCATTTAGGCTATATTTTTTCTTACCATTTATACCTTAAAGCACTTTTTTTAAAATATTTCATTTATTTATTTGAGAGAGAGAATGAGATAGAGAGCATGAGAGGGGGGAGGGTCAGAGGGAGAAGCAGACTCCCTGCTGAGCAGGGAGCCCGATGCGGGACTCGATCCCGGGACTCCAGGATCATGACCTGAGCCGAAGGCAGTCGCTTAACCAACTGAGCCACCCAGGCGCCCCTTAAAGCACTTTCTAAATCTCTCTCTTTAGCTGGACTTTAAGCCCACACACCCAGAAGCCTCCTAAGTACACTCGGCTACCCCTCAAATAAAACACATTCAAAATTGAGCTCATTTGGTGTTTTACACTCGAACGTTCTCCTGTTCTGTTTCTTGCCTTAGCTAATGGCACCACTCTCCACTGGAACGCCCACGCTATCTGAAACCCCGAGTCATCCCTGACCCCTCCTGCTTCCTTCCACCACCTTCCTTAGGGTCCTTCCTTCTACTTCCTTAACACCTCCCGAATTTACTCCTCCACTCACGACTAGGGTAACTGAGTATTATCTCACGTCTGCCTGATCTCCTGGCCTCTATTCTACCCGCCACCCTCTCTCACGTTGGCCACAGTAGATCCTCCACTTTGTGCCTGAGTGAGTATTCTAAAATACAAATGTGCTCAATTTTCTCCCTTGTTTGAAACCATCTGAATGCCCCCATTGCCTGAAGAACGAAGTTCTGGCTGCTTGAAATGGCTTACGTGGCTACCCACCCACCCCTCTCTCCCATCATACTAAACTCTTCGTTATTACACCAATGCTTTTTTTTTAATTTTTAAAAATTGTGGTAAAAGAGACCACATAATATAAAATTTACCTTCTTAACTACTTTTAAGAGTACAGTTGAATAGTTGTTAACCCTATTCACATTACTGTGCAGGTCTCTAGGACTTTTCATCTTATAAAATTAAAACTCTATACCCACTGAACAGTCGCTCCCCATTTCCTCCCGCTCCGGCCCCATTCTAACTTCTGCTTCCTGATATTGACTACTCTAGAGAGCTCATTACTTAAATTCTTCTAATGGGAAAGTTAATATATACTCCCTCTGAGCCGGCGACAGCACTTTAAGGAGTCTATCCTATAGATTTATGTATAATGATGCTCACTGCAGCACTATTTTTTTTTTTTAAAGATTTTATTTATTTATTCATGAGAGACACACAGAGAGAGAGAGGCAGAGGGAGAAGCAGGCTCCCAAGGAGCAGGGAGCCCGATGCGGGACTCGATCCCAGGACTCTGGGATCAAGGCAGACGCTTAACCATCTGAGCCACCCAGGCGCCCTGCAGCACTACTTTTAATAGTGAAAAAACTGGCGTCAGTGCACATTGCTCATCAGAAGGAAAATGCTTAAAACTATGATTCACCCATTCACTGCGACATTATACAATTCTTCAAAATCACAACGTACATCTATCCACATGTAGTGGGAATACAGGACAGGACGTGGAAAGGTATTTATATTAAGAGGTAACAGTAACAAGTTGCAGCAAGTGTGTATGTTTTTTTTAAAGCAGCAACCCACGGGGGCACCTGGGCAGCTCAGTCGGTTGAGTGTCCGACTCTTGGTTTCACCTCAGGTCATGATCTCAGGGTCCTGGGATCGAGTCGCACGACTGGCTCCATGCTCAGCCGGGAGTCTGCTTGAGATTCTCTCTCCCTCTGCCTTTCCCACCCCTCCCACCGGCTCGTTCACCCTCTCTCTCAAGGAAATAAATACATCTTAAATAATAAAGCAGTAACCCACAAACTCAAATGAAAAGATCCTGAAAGGACATACACAAAGGGGTGTGGTAAGGAAAGGTAACCAAGACTTTCTACTTCTGTATTATTCAAACTTGCCTTACAGACAACTTTTATAAATCTTAAAAGTATTTTTAAACTTCTTTGGGAACCACCCAACCATGTTGATGTTGGCTCCCTTCTTTGTCCATGATATTTACCTCCAATAAATTCACTTTGATTGAAATATGCATGTTATAATTTCTGAAGTAACCCCAAAACAAACAGAAACTTTAAAACTAGCTGACAAAAGAAAATGAGAAAAAAGTAATGAATCTAAAAGATGACAAGAAAGGAGAGAAAAATAAAGATTAAGTAGGTAAGACAAAATAAAATCTAAAGTTGAAACATAGATCCAACCATAAATAAATAAACTGAATATAAAAGAATTTGATGCTCCAATTAAGAGACAAATATATAAAGGCTGAAAGTAAAGATTACAAAAATATTTGCCAGGCAAGCTCTACTTTAAGGAAAAAGCTTAAAAGAATATTTTTAAAAAGGTTGGTGTAAGTGCAGTAACATTATATTATTAAGCAACAATAGATTCTAAGGTAAAAAGCCTGAAGAGATAAAGAGAGTCACCTCATATGGATAAAACATCCAATTTACCAGGAAAGATGTATCAATTTTTAAATTTATAAGCTCTTAACAACGGCCTTAAAATGTGTAAAGCAAAAATTGACAGACTACAGGAGAAATAGAAAAATCCACAGTGAGATTTTAACAGAAAAAAAATCATTAAGGAAACAATGATTTAAATAGCACAATTACCAAACTAGACACACATACAAATAGACACATATAAAACACTTCACCCAACAACTATAAGACACATATTTTCAAGCACACATGAGACACTTAGAAAAATGGACCATATATTAGAACAGAAACTAAGTATCAAAAAATTTCAAAGAATTTAAGTAACAAAAATACTATATTCTCTCATGTTTACCAGAAACTCATGAGTGATGGGGGCAGGGGCAGGGAGAGAGGGACAGGGAGGTCCAGCCCAACAGACAAAATGTCAGCTGGTGAATCCAAGCGTCATTCATTACACTATTCAAGCAACGCTTTGTTAAGATAGAAATATTTCAGGGCGCCTGGGTGGCTCAGATGGTTGGGCATCTGCCTTCGGCTCAGGTCATGATCCCGGGGTCCTGGGATCGAGTCCCACATCGGGCTCCCTGCTCCTTGGGAGCCTGCTTCTCCCTCTGCCTCTCTCTCTCTCTCTCTCTCTCTGTCTTTCATGAATAAATAAATAAAATCTTTAAAAAAAAAAAAAAAGAAATATTTCAAAACAAAAAGTTGTGTGGAATACACATAAGCAATTTTTTAAAAGACCATGCTCTCTAATCACAAAATTAAGCTGTAAATCAATAATAATAAAAACAGAAGTAGAGGGGCGCGTGGGTGGCTCAGTAGTGAAGCATCTGCCTTCAGTTCAGGTCATGATCCCAGGGTCCTGTGATCAAGCCCCGCATCGGGCTCCCTGCTCAGTGGGAGTCGGCTTCTCTCTTTGCCCCTCCCCCGGCTTTCTCTCTCTGTCTCTCTCTCTCTCTCTCGTACTCTCTTAAATCTCTAAAATCTAATATCTAAAATCTTAAAAAAAAATAAGTAGAGGGGCACCTGGGTGGTTCAGTTGGTTAAGTGGCTGACTCTTGATTTTGGCTCAGGTCATGTCTCAGGGTCGTTTCAAACTAAACTAATTAAATAACCAAACACATACATATATATACATACATACACACACGAGAGATTTTTCCACCAAGAAAAAGATCTCACATGGGAGGTCTGAGTTCAAAGAAAGTTAGAACAACAAAGAAAATAGTAAATTATGTGGATACCTCTAAATGAATATTGGCTTTACAGAACAATATTAATAAGGTCTTATGGTGGTTTTTTATTTAAAACAGAATTTAAAAACTGATGTCATGGAAAATGGCAGGGTAGAAAACTGCAAGGGTCAGTCCTTCTGCCAAAACATCCATTGAGATGGGGAAAAAATATCAAAACCCACTATTTGGGAACTCTGGAACCTGAGCAGATACTTAAGCGAGCAGGAGAGTGCTTGATGAAGGCAGAGGCTGCTGGACTGTGGTACAAGAGCTGGGGATGTGAGCCTGCTTCCATCCCCCAGCCCTTGGCCCTCTGCAGCCACAGGAATGGTAGCCTGGGAAACTAGAGAGACTGGCTGAAGTGAGCGTGGGCAGTAAGGACTTTATCCTCCAAAAACATGGGACTGGGCGTTTTGGACAGTTTGGCAATTCCCTGAGGAACCAGAGCAAACAACCACCTTTGTTTTGGGCCCCTGCAGATGCTTCCCTGGTAGCATCAATCATAAGATTTAAAGACAGGGTGCCTGGATGGCTCAGTTGGTTGAGCGACTGCCTTCGGCTCAGGTCATGATCCTGGAGTCCCTGGATCGAGTCCCGCATCGGGCTCCCTGCTCGGCGGGGAGTCTGCTTTTCCCTCTGACCCTAACCCATCTCATGTGCTCTCTCTCATTCTCTCTCTCTCAAATAAATAAAATCTTAAAAAAAAAAAAAAAGATTTAAAGAGACATATATACTCATTTGAAAGAAGAATTCAGACATTTAAGAAAATCTCTGTCAACTCACAGGCTAATCAAAGAGATAACAGAACAGAAATGTCAGTCACCACACACAACAAGAAATAGAGACTTTGCAAAAACAGTTTGAAAAAGTCACTATACAAATGGATGGCTGCAGGTATCAAAAAAAAAAAAAAAATCATAGCACATACCCTCCCCAGTGTCTATCACCGAGCCTCCCCATCCCTCCCACGCCCCACCACTCCAGCAAAAAAAAAAAAAAAAAAAAATCTAAGGAGAGCGAGAATATGATTTCCAGAATTACTACATTATAATATTTAAGACGTCTAGTTCTCAACGACAAATTACAAAACACAGAAACAGGAAAATATGACTCATTAAAAGGAAAAAGAGAATTAGGGGCGTCTGGCTTGCTCAGTTCGTACAGCATGCAACTCTTGATCTCAAGGGTTATGAGTTCAAGACCCACGTTGGGTGTGGAGAGTACTTAAAAATAAAATCTTTAAAACAAAACAAAAGACAAAAAAAGGAAAAAGATTTGACAGAAATATTTCCTGTGGAAGCCCAGACATTGGGATTACTAATCAAAGACCTTAAATCAACAGTCTTAAATATGCTCAATGAACTATTTGGACAATAAACTAAATGAAATCAGAATAATGTATGAACAAATAGAAAACATCAACAGAGACAACAGAGACATAAATTATAAAAAAGAACCAAATAGAAATTCTGAAGCTATAAAAGTACAATTGATCATATGAAAATTTCACTAGATACCACTACATACCCCTATTTCACTATATACCCCTATTGAAATAACCAAAATCCAGAACACTGACCACAACAAGTGTTGGAGAGAATGTGGAGCGACAGAAACGCTCATTCATTGCTGATGGGAATGCAAAATGGTGCTACGACTCTGGAAGACACTGTGGTGGTTTCTGACAAAACAAAATGTACTCTTCCCATACGATGTAGCAACCACACTCCTTGGATATTTACCCGAAGGAGTTAAAAACTCAGGTCCATACCAAAACCTGCACATGGATGTTTACAAGCTTTATTCTCAACCGCCAGAAATTAGAAGCAACCAAGATGTCCTTCAGTCGGCGCACAGATATATAAACTGTGGCACTCCAGACAGTGGAATATTATTCAGCACTAAAAAGAAACAAGCTAACAAGCCATGAAAAGACGCAGAGAAACTTAAATGCATATTACCAAGTGAAAGAAGTGAGTCTAAAAAGGCTACATATTGTAGGATTCCAACTATATGACATTCTGGAAAAGGCAAAACTGTGGAGACAGTAAAAAGATCAGTGGTTGCCAGGGGTTAGAGAGGGGAAGGGATGAACAGGCAGTGCACAAAGGATTTTTAAGGCAGTAAAACTGAGTGTGACACTATAAAGGTGGATACATGTCATCATAAATTTGTCCAAATCCCATAAAATGTACACAGCAAGAGGGAACCCTAAAGTAATCTATAGACTCTAGGTGATAATGATGTGTCGATATAGGTTCATCAATTGCAATGAACGTTCTACTCTGGTGGGAGATGTTGGTAATGGGGGCAGCTAAGTATCTGTGGAGGTAGGGGGTATATGGGAAATCTCTGTACCCTCTGCTCACTTTTGCTCTGAACATAAGACTGCTCTAAATAATAAAGACTATTTTAAAAGTTTCACCAAAGGGGCTCAATGGCAGAGTTCGGCAGGAAGAAGAAAGGGCCAATGAACTTGGCAACAAGCAACAGAAATTATCCAATCCAAGAGGAACAGGAAAAAACAATCAAGAAAAATGAACAGAACCTGAGGGGCCTGTGGGACATCATACCAACGGATGCATTAGCAAAGTCCGAGAATGACAAGAGAGAAAGAACAGGAAAAAAAAAATCGCCAAAAACTTCCCAAATTTGATAAAAGACATAAATCTACCCATCCCCAAAACTCAACAATCTCTAAACAGAATAAACTCAAGGAGATCTATACTACGACACATCATAGTCATATTGTCAAAAGCCAAACACAGAGTGGCGCCTCGGTGGTTCAGTTGGTTAAGCGGCCTACTTTGATTTTGGCTCAAGTCATGATCTCAGGGGTCATGGGATTGAGCTTGCACTGGGCTCCAGTTCTGCGTCAGCTCCATGCTCAGCACAGAGTCTGCTTGTCTCTCTTCACCTGCTCCTCCCCTGGCTCATGTGCACGCTCTCTCTCTCTCTCAAATAAATAAATAAAATCTTAAAAAAAAAAAAAGCCAAACACAGAGAAAGGAGCAAGAGAGAAGCACCTGGTCACTTAGAGTGCCTACGTAAGAGTAACTGCCAATTTCTCATCAGAAGTCAGAGAGGCCAGAAGGTGGTGGAATGACATATTTCAAGTGCTGAAAGAAAATCACCTGTCAAGTGAAACAAAAAACAAAAACCTTCAAGAATGAAAAAGAAATTAAGCCATTCTCAGAAAAACAAAAGCTAAGAGCATTCATTTCTAGTAGACCTGACCTACCAAAAAATGCTGAAAGGAGTCCTGTAGGCTGAAATGAAATGAGATGAGACAGTAACCTGAAGCCATATGAAGAAATAAAGAACCCCAACAAAGGTTCCTCCGTAGGTAAATACAGAAGCCTGTGTTACCGTACTTTCAGTTTGTAACTCCTTTTTTCCTGTAGGATATAAAAGGCAGATGCACAAAAGAGTACTGATAAATCTGCGTCAATAACACCATGAAAGTGGAGACGCACAAATGTACAGCGACAGGGACTACACGCTATTGAAACTAAAGTTAGTATTATTCAAACTAGGTGACCATTACTTTAAGACATTAATTGTAATCTCAAGGGGAATCCTTAAGAAAATACCTTTAAACATGTACAGAAAAGGAAAAATGAAGAGAATCAAAAATGGTGCATAAAATATTGATGAAATACCCCCAAAAAGGCAGTAATGGAGCAACTGAAAACCAGAAACAAGTAAGATGTATGGAAAACAAATAGTTAAATGGCAGAAATCGGTCCTTCGCCAGTGATTACTTTAAATGTAAATGGATTAAACTCTCCAGTTAAAAGGCAGGAATTGGCAGAATGGATTAAACAACGAAACAAAACATGATCCACTATATGTGGTCAACAAGAAACTCACTTCAGAGACAAAGACACAAAAGCCTCTTAAGTGAAAGGATGAAAAGAGCCCATGCAAATAGCACCCAGGAGAGCTAGGGTGGGGGCTAGATTATCATTAGACAAAATAGATTTTAAGCCAAAAAAGGTTATATCAAGAAGACATAACAATATAAACATCTGTGTACCTAACAGAAGCCCCAAAATATATGAAGACAAAATGGACAGACTTCTTGAAGGGAGGAATGGACAGTCCTACAGTAATAGCTGGAAACAGTAATAGTTGGAAACATCAACACCTCCCTTTCAATAATGGATAGAACGATAAGGAAATCGACGACTTGAATAACACTAAAGTCAGGCACTGGATCCAACAATGAACAGACAAAAATCCTTGCCTTCAAAAAATGCACAAGATTTTTAAAAAGGTGCAGAATGTAGTATATCAGGAGAAAAATTCAAACAGGGAAGGGGAGCGGGGATTGTCAGAGGTTGCGGATCTCACTCAGTGGGGTTGGGAAAGACCTCATTACAAAGATGACACTGAGTCAAGAGTAGTTCTCCTGTCCCTCAACTATCATCTATCACACTACTTGAAGAACGTGTGCGCTAGACAAACTCCCCCTCTAGCTGGTGGCTCCTCATTGGCCAGGACAATTCCCAGCTCCCAGCACGGAGCTTCCACAGTGGGGCTGCTGAGTAGACTCTGTGAACCAACGCACACCCAGCAAGCACCAGTCTGGAGGGCTAAGGCAGCTTACGTGCCGATATGGAACTGTACTAACATCTCTACCCTTGGTCCTCCACAAGAAGTTAGTTTCCATGTGGTCAGTCCGCCAATTCCGCGGGTGAGGTGAAAAGAAAAAGGAGGGTGTTCTTCCCAACACTGGCCTCACTAAACCAGAAACGGGGTGCGTCTCCTCACGTCCATCATTAATAAGGAAAGTCTCTCAGGCTGACTTGCTCTGGGAACCTCAACAATGTGCGCTTAACACACAATTTACACACACAGTAGTGCCCCCTCCACGGTTTTGCTTTGTGCAGGTTCAGCTATCCGTGGTCAACCGTGGTCCGGAGGCAGGCGATCCCCCTTCTGATGTGCTGTTGGAAGGTCAGCAGCCTAACGCTGTGTGCTCACCTCCTTCATCGCCCCCCGCGGGCACCTCCCCATCTCTCATCCTGACCAGAAGACGGGTGAGCACATGACAGTAAGATGTGCTGAGCGAGAGACCGCATTCACGTAACTTTTATTACAGTCTGTTGCTCTAAGTGTTCAAGTTTAATACGAGTTATTATTCATCTCTTACTGTGGCTGTTTCATAAATTTATCTTCACTGTAGGCGCGGACGTACAGAAAACACGCAGTACATACAGGGTTTAGTACTACGCGCGGTTTTGGGCACTGTATCCCCCGTGGATGAGGCAGAAGCCTTTAGGGGCAAAAATTCTAGGAAAAAATGGCAGTGTTGGCATGACTCCCAAAAGGTCCCCGGGCCTCAGACCTACTTGTCCTAACGAGGAGGGCAGCCTCGGGCACCTGCCGCCACCTGACCTGCACCAAGCTCATCTCCAGCTGCAGGGCGTCTCGCTCTCTCCGAGCCGTGTCCAGCTCCCCTTCCAGCCGCCGCACCTCCGACTGCACCAGCGTGAGCTGCTGCTGGGCCTCCCGCGCCACCTGCGCCTCCCTCTGGGTGTTCCCCTGGGAAAGGAAACCAAACTCAAGTGTGTGCCTCCGTTCCTGCCTCCTGGTCACCTCCATTCCCCAAGCCATCGTCCCACGCCCTGAAACCCAAGCCGTTACTTTCCCTCTTCACACCCGACTATCTGCTCGGCTCTGGGGACTCTCACTCTTTCTGCCTTCCGGGTACTGGCTGCCCCCGGCCCTGCCTGCTGGCCCCGCAGCCTCCACCTTGTCCCCCCAGGACGGGTCTTCACTCTGCAGCCCAGCCCCCCCCGCCACCCCATATTCTGACCTCCCGTCTCATTCCGTCATTCTGCCCTTCAGCTGTTGCCCATTCCCCAGCGGGACAGCCGCTCTCACCTTCTCCTTTTCCAGCTGAGCGTGCACCTCCTCCTGCAGGGCCCCGTGGCGCTCCTGCAGCTCACGCTCTTGCTGGGCCCAGGCCTGCCGCTCTTCCTCCAGGGCCAGCTTCAGCGCCTCCAGCTGTCGATGCTCACTCAGCTGCCCAGCCCGAGCGTCATCCCGCTCTTCCTGCAGGGCCCGGCACCGCTGCTGCTCCAGCTCCAAGCTCAGGGTCAGAGCCTGCCTCTCCTCCTCCTGGAGCCCCAGGGAAAACCAAGATCCTGAGCAAGCCCTCAAGAGAGCAGCAAGCTGCCCCCTTACCCCCATACGCTGCACCCGCTGAGAATTCTGCCCGCTAAAAAACAAGAGTCGACAAGCCCACAGGACTGTGACATGGTAAACAGGAGCGTCTGTTCCAGAATTCGGTACATCTGGGCTCAAATCGGTTTGCATCCCAGCTGTCACTATGTGTTCATGTCTAGGGCCTACCTTGTGAGGATTCCAGTAAAAAGCACACAGAAAGCAACTAGCACAGTGTCTAGCACATAGTAAGCACTCAATACACAACACCTGTCACTATCATCCTCAAAAGAAGCTTCACAAAGAGTAGAAAATCCAGCCTCTGATCATGAACCAGCCGGCCAGCAACCATGACGGGCGCTGTTGGATCAAGCCTGTGAACGGGCACCTGGGTGGCTCAGTCGGTTAAGTGGCTGCCTTCGGCTTAGGTCGTGATCCCGGGGTCTTGGGATCAAGTCCCGCATCGGGCTCCTTGCGCGGCGGGGAGCCTGCTTCTCCCTCTCCCTCTGCCTGCCTGCCGCTCCCCCTGCTTGTGCTCGCTCTCTCTATCTCTTCTGTGTCAAATAAATAAATAAAATCTTAAAAAAAAAAAAAGCCTGTGAAGATGACAAGTAACAGCGTGCATGTCGCAAGCATGCATCATGCCCACAACTAAGTTCCAGGCCTGGCTGCTAATTCATATGAGTAATCATCTTATCACTTCAGCAATAAGAAACCCGATTAAGTCTCACCCCATATACCTTTTCTGGCTCTGCCCTAGACCAGAGATCCCAAACCTGGCCCGATGCGGGGCTCGATCCCAGGACTCCGGATCATGACCTTAATGACTGAGCCACCCAGGCGCCCCTCCCCTCCCCACCCCGCTATGATCCATGATTCTAATGAGGCAATGATTTGCAGAGTCTCTCGAGCCAACTCGGCGGCTGAGCCCCGTCTGCAGAGGATCTAGTAGAACGAGTGTTCTAAGGGACACATTTGGGGAAACACTCCCCTGGTGCGGCTCCCACAACCCACCGATGGCCCACAGCCCCTGAATTAGTTAGCAGCCTCTAATGGAATGGACCGAGCCCAGCATTCTCACCAGCGTCTCCCTTTCCCGTTGCTGCAGTCTGGCACTTTCCTGCTCACGATTCAGGGCCTCCATGGCCTCGGAAAGGCTTTGCTCCAGGTGGGTCACTGTCTTTCAGGGACAGGGGAACACAGGACAGAGGAACAGAGGGGAATCCCTGCAGGTTATACTTCAGAAAGCTTCAGCGATAATAGACTAAAAGTGAGACCTAACTCAGTGACTTGGGGGCCTAAGGGAAGACTACGTGGTGTGGGGAAATCTGGGAAAACATGGATGATGCAAGCCTGGCAGCAAAAACAGTGAAGTGGGGGGGAACGGGGAGAACAGCCAGGCTGGTGACTCCTCGAGACTGAGCTCAATCTGTTAGGGACCCGGATTCGAAGCTATCCGGACTCCCCTCCCTCTATTGATCTGTGTGCCCTAGGCTCTCACGCCATCCGATTCAGGTTGCCCACCTCCTGCTGCTTGCTTCTGGTGAGTTCGGCTGCCTGGCGTTCCTCCTGGAGCCCCCGAAGCACCTCTGCCCGCTCGGCCTCGTGACGGTTCCAGCCCTCCACCACTCGGGCCAGGGTCTCAGGAGAGGAAAGTCAAATGGAATTTCAAAGTAATTTTTTTGCTCTCTTTCTGCCCGCAGCGGTGGGGTCAACAGCCACCTTCTCCCAGGAGTCAGGAACCCTCCCCCCACAAGCTCCTAGCGTGAACAAAGAAACGCTGGTTAGCCATCCCATTTTTACTATTCCTTGGTGCCCCCCACAAGAGACCCACCCGCATTCTGCTACCCTGGCACCTTGTCCAACTGTTCGATCATGATATCTTTCTTGCGGTCAGCAGTCACAGCCACAGCTAACTGCTGCTGAAGCTCTAGCACCCGGGTCTGTAGGGTCTGAATATGGCGCTCACAATGCTGGGAAGGAGAAGAAGAAGTCTGGGTGTTACTATCCGTAATTTGACCAAAGCATCAAACTTCCCAGCACCTCTTGGCGAAAATGGGCTGGAGACAGGGTGCCCAGGTCCCAGGAACAGAAGAGGTTTGGAGAAGAAGGATCAGGAACTCGGGAGCAGGAATCTTGAGGCCCAAGACCTCTACCAGCTCAGGAGACAGGGGCTTAGCTTCCAGGCTATTCCATTTCCTGGATCTCTGGGGAGAAATTTCCACGAACCTTCTGGCAGGAGACCAACAGCCCACACTTCACAGAGTGGGAGGTGACTCGTGCCTAAGCAGCTCATTGGGCACAGTGAAGGTTGGCAAGGAGAAAGGAGAAAGCCTTTCATTCAGGCCCAGGCAGCTTCAAACAGACGAAGAGATGGTTCCAAAAACGACAACACAACCAATGACTGTAACCTTTCCCCTGCCTAGTCCGCCTCTCTGCCCCCTTCAGATAAGCTGAGGTTTGCAGAAATAAAGTCCGTCGTATCACCAGTAGCTATAAAGCCTTCACACAAGCCAGGAAGTTGTGCTGTTCATTCACCGCACGCTTCTGGAACGTTTCCTTGTGTCAGGCACATTCTAGACAGTGCTGAACAAGATAAGGTCTGACCCTCACAGAGCTTAGATTTTAGAGGGGAGAAGCAGATAAGATATATCAGACTATGATAAGCTATTACCCGAGGGACCTGAATGCCCACCCGGAGGAGAGGTGTGCATCATAGACAGGATGGTCAAAGTCGACCTCCCTGAAGAGCCATCTGAGCAAAGTCTCAGCTTACAGGCCCTCAACCCTCAGCCCTTCCCAGTACCCAGCCTATTTCTAATCTTTGCCGCTTTCAAAAGGAAGCCCTGGTGACTCACCTTGCGACGGGTGTGTTCGGAATCCAGTGCATCTCTCAGGCCCTGGAAATCCGGGGGATTGAGGGGGGGCCCCGGCCGAAGACTGGCATAGCGGGGAAACAACTCCTCCAGGGCTTGGGCTGAGCTAGATGGAGATAAGCCTTGCAGGGGCCGGGTGCTGAACAAAGCAGGCAGAGAATATCAGGGTGCGGAAAGCTTTCGAGAGCCCCTAGTCCAACTGTGACATTTTACAAACGAGGAAACAGGAACTCAGAAGGAGCAAGAGACTTGGCCAAAGTCAAGGAGCTAGACAGCACTCAGGTTCTGTGATTCACTCCACAGTGCTCCTTCTTGTCTACCACACTCCCAGCAGTTTTAAAAGTCTTAGCAGAAACAAGCCAACTCTTCTGGGGGAAGAAGGACTAGAGGTTGGGAGAAAGCCAGGTACTAGCCAGCAGATGCCCATGGTCCTGAAGGAGTAAAGGGGATAGAAGACAGGGGAAAAGGATGAAAACTGAAAGCTAAGGAACAAGCATCTTAGGTCCCTAGGAGATAGAAAAGCAGGAAAGACAGAACTCAGGAAGAGAACATTGCCTCTCCGAGAAGACAAGCAAGCCAGCTAGAAGAACCCCAAGGGGAACTCACTGAAGCAAGGTGGCTGTGCTGTCACTGTCAAAGGAGTCGTCTTCTCGTCTCTCTGAGCCAGGACCCGGAGTGATGGGATCCCCTGCAGGCAGCCAGAGGGACCCCACAGCCAGGGTCAGGTAAGGATAGGAACCCTGTCTCTCTGAAGACGAAGAGAGGAGAGGGCCTTTCCTTTTGACTTCACCCACTCCTCTAGCCCCTCTCCCAAAGAACTGGAGCCTTTCCTCCTGAACTCTCGTCTTGGACGCCTTCCTTCCTCCGCCTTCTCCCACCCCTTAAATCTGGGTTTAACTCACGATAGGCTGTATCCCGGGAGTTTTGGAGCATGCTCTGGAGTTGACCCCGAACACTTTCCATCTCAAAGATATGCTTGGAGCCATCCTAGAAAAAAGCAGCATGGAAATCAGATGCAACCTGAATGATCTTACGTTCTACACACTGCCAGGGTATGTGGCATCTGGTACCCCCTAAAACCCAAGAATTTTTACTCCAGCACCTGGGACAGCCAAGAAAACTGGAACTGACCCAATAAGGGTTGAAACTCAAATGTCTACAGAAGCCAGGCACATAGTGTAAATAAATTAATTGGGCACATTAAGACAAGGCTGGTGAGGATCCTTGCCAACTAGAGAGGAAATACCTCACCTAAAGACTGTAGAGTCCGTGGCTATCAGTTTTTCAAACTCTGGAAGACCTAACCAGTCTGCAACACTAATAACCAACCTCTCTGTGACATGTGTAATCGATTAGACCGCGTCTGAATGATTGACATGCCAAAGTGTAAACCAGACAATCAAACTAGCTTTGAGCTGGAAGGAGCTTAGCAAATTTTGCTATCCTTAAGTGCCTAGTTCTCTCTTGAACTGAAAAAACCTTATCCTCACTTAGTGCCCAAGTCCCAGTCAAAGCACAGCAACCTGTCCCTTGGTGCAGGTATCGCCACATTAGGAGTTCAATCCAACAACAGGAGTTCAAATCTCAGCAAAGCAATCTTTTTTTTTTTTTTTACGACCTCCCATTCCAAGACCCTAGAGGTACCCAAGACACACCTCTCTCACCTTTTTCTTCAAGTTGTTCTCCAAGCCAACCGACAAGCTGTGACTCAACTCTTGGGCCAAGCCATCTAACATCTCATGGGGAGGTAGGGAGGCAGTGGGGAGATACAGCTGGGCTCGGGCGGTGGCCTCCGCCTGACGACTGAGATGCAAAGAAGCATAGAGCTGGGAGGTCACCTCAGAGGATACTTGGTTCAGCCCAGGGGCTTCTGATGAATCACTCAGGAGATCCTCAGCCCGGAGAGGTGAACTGGGGCTGGTAGCTGATGTCGCCATGAGTACAAGCACCAGACAACTGCAGACAGCAGAAGTGGGAACTCCTGGCCCTGCTTTAGGAGATTCCAGGGCGGGGAGTGCACCGAGAAAGAAGATTTGGGGGAAAGGAGGAAGACTCCAAGCCAAGGATCCTTGGTGAGTGACGGTAGGGAGGCTTTCCGGTTAGAGGAAAGGTTTCCAGCGGTTCCAGAGGCCATGGGAGAGGGCAAAAGCATTTCCTTCCACGCGCCTGGGACCGGTGGAAAAGGAGGGTACAGCAAGGAGGGGGTGGGGACAGAAGACCGAGGGGCGGCAGCCCCCACTGCAGTTTCCCTGGAGTGCTGAAGACCAACTTCTGGCACAGGCTTTTAAATTCTCACACCCAGAACCTGCAAACTGAAACGTACCCAATCCAATAGCGGCCTGATTCCCCTCCAGCAGTCTTATTTGGCCCTCACGGGGCCCGGGTCTCAGGACCCTCACGCTCCCCACCTCCTCACGCCCGTCGCCATGCACCTGTTCCACCCACCGTCAACCCTCCTGGGTATCCCCTCCGACCGCTCCTGGCAAGAAAGGCATAGCAAGGCTCCTCAGAATCCCCCCCTCCGTGCTATCCCAAGAGAAACCCTGTGAACCCTCGGCTACCCCCTCAAAGTCGGCCGCCCTCCAGCCTAGCCTGAGATCCTCTACCCGGACCACCCCTGGCAACTCCTCGCCACACCGCCAGACGTCAGCCCCGCTCAATTTGCCAACGTGTGGCCCAGGGATTGTCCCCCTCCCCTGAGCCCCGGTCCGGGAGACCAAGGACCCCTGCACACCCACCCTCGCCGCCTTCCCTACACTCAAAAACCGTTGGCAACCTCCCGCCCACCGTCCGCAGCCCCGCCTCGCTCGCCTAGATGACGTCACCAGCCCAGCGCTCTCCCTCGCAGGCGCCCAGACGGCCTCTGGAGCCCGGGAGCCCTAGACGCGCGTGCGCGGCGCCGGCGGCACGGATTGGCTGAGGGAGGCATGGGGCGGAGTTATTGTCCCACCGCCGCAGTTTGAGGCGCCGGTGGGGCGGGGCTCCGAGGAAACCGGAAGTATCTAGTGACGGGCACCAGGAGCAGTTCCGGTGAGTCCGGGGGAGGGGTTCCTGCCGGGTTTGGGGAGTTAGGGACAGGGAACTGGAGCCCCCGGGGTGTGGGCGGTCTGGGAGCGAGGCTTAACGCTCTCTGCCCTGCAGATGACTGTTCACAACCTGTACCTGTTTGACCGGAATGGAGTATGCCTTCATTACAGCGAGTGGCACCGCAAGAAGCAAGCGGGGATCCCCAAAGAAGAGGTGACGAGAGGGCCCCGCGCAGCCCGGGTGACCTCGCATCTCGAACGCACATGGTCCCAGCCCAGCCCTTCCTAGCCAAACCCCGTCTGGTTCCCACCCCTATCCCGTCTCCTTCAACAACCAAGAGCTAACTCTGTCCCTCTCCCTCCAGGAGTACAAGCTGATGTACGGGATGCTCTTCTCTATCCGCTCCTTTGTCAGCAAGATGTCCCCGCTAGACATGTACGCTGAGTCAGAGGGGATGCCGAGGGAAGGAGGGCTGGCCTTGGGAATTTGGGGGACGGGGGAGACTTTGTGGAGTGGAAGAGACATTGCCCCCAACAGAGGGGAAGGAGACAGACAGAGAGAGGCTGAGTCTGGAGGGAGAGTGCTGGAGCCCGAGCGGCGAAGGGGAAGATCTGAAGGTAGAGAGGTTGGGTGCGGGGGCTAAACTGAGGAGTGGAGGTGGGAGGTGTCTTACTAAATCAGGCTCCTGTGAATGATGTTTAGGGAGTCGACCTAGACAGGATCAGAAGTATCTCTATGGAAGAGATTATGCTCCCATTCCTTTTTTAAGATTTTAATTTATTTATTTAACAGAGAGAGACACAGCGAGAGAGGGAACACAAGCAGGGGGAGTGAGAGAGGGAGAAGCAGGCTTCCCGTGGAGCAGGGAGCCCGATGCGGGGCTCGATCCCAGGACCCGGGGATCATGACCTGAGCCGAAGGCAGACGCTTAACGACTGAGCCACCCAGGTGCCCCTGTGCTCCCATTCCTTAATGTCCTCCTCATCTCTGCAGGAAGGACGGCTTCCTGGCCTTCCAAACTAGCCGTTACAAACTCCATTACTACGAGACGCCCACTGGGATCAAGGTTGTCATGAACACTGACTTGGGCGTCGGACCCATCCGAGACGTGCTGCATCATATCTACAGTGCGGTCAGTGCCAGCTCCCGGGACCCTTCCCTCCCCAAAAGCTCCTCCACAGCCATGGCCACTTAGAGCCTCAAGACTCCTTGAGCTTCCCTGCCCTAATTGTACTGTACTGTAGCTCTGTTGAAGTCAGGAGTTTTCTCAGGACTCTTTAGGTCCTGAAACACCACCACTTTCTCCTCAGGGAGGCTTGCCTCCCAGCCCTTGATCCTTGTGCATTCGCACACCCCTGAGGTCACACTAGGTTTGGGGTTGAAAACAAGAAGTGTCCAAAGCCTGGCTCTAACACCCTTCCCCTCCGTAGCTGTATGTGGAGCTGGTGGTGAAGAATCCCTTGTGCCCACTGGGCCAAACTGTGCAAAGTGAGCTCTTCCGCTCCCGGCTGGACTCCTACGTCCGCTCTCTGCCTTTCTTCTCTGCCCGGGCTGGCTGAAGGAAGCACCCTACCTCACCCCTCAGGAGAATCCCTGTCTGCCTGGGGCCCTTCCTAACCTGTTTCATATGAAGGCCCCCACTGCATGCCCCTCTACCCCCTCCTGTTCCCCAGCAGCCCTCCCAGGGCAACAGCCTAAAGCCCACCCTGGTGCCCTCCCTGTCCGAGGAAGGAAGCCTCCAGGAATCCCTACACCTCCAAACCAGGCCGTCTGCTGTTTTATACCCTACCTGATGCTGCAAAAGTACAGAATAAACTTTTTGTCACCCTCTGCAGCCTAAGCGTGTTAGTTTGTCAGTTTGGGTGGTCCGTCGCTGTCCTGCCCCACTCACGAAGGCATGAACCAGGGTGGCCACATCCCGTGAGCCTGTAAAGAGGCTTTGTCCATTGGCTTCTCAACAGTGACAGATCTTACTCCACTCACAATGGGGTTACGTCCAGATAAACCCATCGTGAGTTGAAAATGTAAGTCGAAAATGCATTTAATTCACCTGGTCTACCAACCGTCATAGCTTAGCCTAGCCTACCTTAAATGTGCTCAGAATACTACATTAGTCCATGGTTGGGCAAAATCGTCTAACGCGAAGCCTATTTTATAATAAAGTGTTGAATATGTTAGGTGAATACTGTACTGAGAGTAAAAAAAATAAGTGTATCGGTGGTTTACACTCCGGATCCAGGGGCTTACTGGGGGCTGAGACTCCCTGCCACTGCCCAGCATCGGGAGGTATCATACAGTATATTGCTAGCCCAGGACAAAATTCAAAGTACGGTTTCTACTGAATGTCTATTGCTTTTGCACCATCAAAAAGATAAAAAAAAAAATTGTAAGTCAAACCATAACTAGAGACCGTCTGCAATGACATTTTGGGGGCAGGGGGAGCTGTCCTGCCTTTTGTCCTGGCCGCCACTCACGAGCTGCTGATAGCACATCTGCATCCCCAATCCCAGTTGTGACAGTCAAAAATGTCGCCAGACCTTGCCACATGACCCCCCAGGGGACAAAATAATCCCGCATTGAAAACCACGTTGCTGGAAGAAGGCCGAAGTGCTGCGGGTCCCAGGGGGTATGATAATCACCCTCCCAGGTTCTGCCCTCCTGGCTTCTCCAAACGCACAGACTATTCAAGCTGCGGAGCCTTCGGAGGCGGGGCTTATGCAGATGAGCGGCGTGTTTGGCTGGGAGGCGGGCGGTTTTATGCAGATGAGGGGGCGGTGCTTGCATGTTGATGATCTGGGCCCGCTGCCGACGCTGCTGGGAGCCTAGCTGTCCCGCTGCGGTTTGGGCTGAGGTGGCATCTGTCTTCCACCACCAGCCCTCGTCCCTAGGTCCCTATCCTCCGAGGACCGCCCTCGACCTTTGCCCTCACCCATTTCCCCCTCCTCCTCCCCGCGCCAGGGACCCCGTATCCGAATATCTGCACTCGTGCCGCCCCCCGCATTTCTCTCCAGCCGCCGCAAACCCCGCGACCTCCAGCAGCCCGCCCCCGCGGGCCCGATCCTGCCCGGCGGCTCCCGCCGCAGCCTGCTCAGCCTTTCCGCTCTCCCAGGGCTCGCGCCACTACACCTCCCCCGCCGTCCGCGCCGGGGCTTCCCTGTTCCCAACTCCTCCCGCCCCCTCGAAGCCCCCTCTCCCGCCCTGGCAAGTTGGCATGCAGGTGTCTATCGCGTGTACCGAGCAGAACCTTCGCAGCCGGAGCAGTGAGGACCGTCTGTGTGGACCCCGGCCGGGCCCCGGGGGCGGTAATGGCGGGCCGGTCGGCGGCGGGCATGCGAATCCTCCGGGGGGAGGAGGGTCGGGCCCCAAGGCCCGGGCCGCACTGGTCCCCCGACCCCCAGCGCCCGCTGGGTCCCTCCGAGAGAGCACCGGCAGAGGCACTGGCATGAAATACAGGTATGGGGGTGGCCAGGCAGCCCACCCCATCTGCTCCCCTTTCCTGACCCCTGAGGCTTCCTGGGATGCCGCCAGGACCCCCTCAATCTTCGCTAAGAAGGTCCTAGCTCATCCCATCTCTTCTTCCCATCACCGGGGTACTCTCTTACTTGGTCCCTCTCTTTGTCTCCGTCCATACCCCTGACGAGGAGAAAATCAACTTTACCAAGGTTGACCGGTCCGGTCAGAGCCAGGTGGTGCTCCTGAGCTTCCCTCCTTATCCCCAGGGGGGACAGGGATGCACGGATCTCCAGGCTGGGCCCCCTCTGGGATGGAGTGTCCTTGGGTCTGTGTCCTGGGAAGGGGGGGGGCAGGTGGGAAGGAAACGGCTTCTCACTCTGGCCAGCTCAGGATGCCTGACCCAGATACTGCCCTCACCTGCCCCAAGGGCCAGGTCTCCTGCAACCTTTCTTGGTGGGGAGGGGAGTGGGGCTCTTGGAAGCATGGACCACATCTCCTAACCCCATGCTGAGGGACAGACAGGGGCCTGGTGGAGAAAGTAGACTGAATTGTAACCGACTTTCTCAGAGAACTGCTGGGCTCTCAGAACTTGCATAAGAGAGGGAGGGAGGGGCTCCTACTTGGGAGTGAGCAGAGGTTACTGATTGGACCTGACTCTTGTCACTTGAGAAATTTGATCTCTCCATGTGTTGCCTCTGATTGAGAAGCTGAGCTAACTACCTGGGTGAGGAGACCTTGGGAGGAGGGGGCTCTCTGGGTCAGAGACAGACTCCACAAGCCCACGGGAGTGGAGGGAGCCTACAGAGGAAGAGGGAAAACCGGCCTTTCCTGTCATACTCCCCACTCAGGTGTCCTACCTGCGTTTTGAGGGCCCATCTGCCTCCCCTGTCCAAGGACCCCTGCCTGCCTGAGTGCCTAAACCTGACTTGGTTTACCCACTCCCACCGCAGTGTCTGCCCTTCAGTGTAGCATTCTTTATCTGCGGGTCTGTTTCCACAAACTCATCACCATCGCCCTGTCACATTCCTCCCTACCCCAAACTCCACACATCCCAGCGATGACTCAAACACAGATGAGACCCCACCAGGAGAAACACAAACCAGGCAGCCAGCCACAGAGGCTCTGGATGTTGTCTCCAGAGTCACTTAGGCTCGGGGCGTAGTACTGCCCAACTCAGTAAGCCCACTGGGTCTAGTTCCTTTGGACTGAGCTACCCGAGGGCTTCTGATTCTGGAAGGAGAGGAGCTGGGGGCTGATAATCTCTGTCCTTAATGGAGGCTCCACCCTTTCCTGCTGCTTCTGTATCCTGCAGGAACCTAGGAAAGTCTGGTCTTCGGGTCTCCTGTCTTGGCCTAGGTGAGTTAGAAAGCAGAGGACTTAAGGGAGGGGGCGTTCGTGGCTTGCCCCCCCGCCCCATGGTGGTCACAAGCCTGGCTTCTCTCTCGCAGGCACCTGGGTCACGTTTGGTTCTCAAATCTCGGACGAGGTATAAGTGATGGGCCCTAGAAGCAGGGTGAGGGGGTGTGAGGGAACCAGAGAAGAGGGGAGTAGACTCGGCGAGGGGTTTGGACAACAAGCATGGGGAATGGCGGGCCTGAGGCTGGAGGGTGGGGGCGGGGCCAAGGTGCAGGGGGGCTGCAGTGCAGAGGGAGGTCGCTGGGGGCCAGTGCTTGATCTTCATCTCTGTCACCTCCCTAGACAGCAGAGGACGTGCTGACAGTGGCCTATGAGCACGGTGTAAACCTATTTGACACGGCTGAAGTCTACGCAGCGGGGAAGTAAGGACTGGGGTGAAAGAGCCAAGTTACATCTGGAAGGCTAAGAGAACATCGGGGCTTATTTTCCCTCTAGAGAACCCTGGGAACTCTGTGAACACTAAGTTCCAACCTTTCAGCCAATGGGCCCCCGACGCACTATGGGAATTGTAGTCCCAACATCAGTCCCTCTTCCGTGTAGAGCCCAAAGGGCATTCTAGGCAGTCCAAATAAAATAAAGCCAACAAATCTATCCTGGGCATCAGTTATGTGTCGCAATGTGGGGATTACAAGGCTGAATTTTCACAGATCGCATACCCATGGCGCCACGCTGGGTCCTCCCAAACCTAGCCAAAACCTAGGATGACCTTCCCCCACCTCTTCTCCCATCTGGCAAACTCTCCCACTCATCTTCAAGACTTGGCCCAATGTCAGCTCCTCCAAGAAGCCTTTGCCCAGCTCCCCAAGTTGGTCATCACCCACCTCAGCTCCCAAAGCACTTTGTACGGCCCTCCGACCCACCATCTGTCAATTACCGGTTTTCGTAGCCATGTTTGCTGCTCAACTGGGAGGCTCCTCCTTCCACGGAACTTGTCCATGTCACCTAAGTACCTACACAGAGCCTAGCCCAGAGCAGACACTGCTCGTAGGATGACAACACGCCCCCCCCAAAGCTCACGGTCAAAGTGGTTAAACCGAAAACACAGGGAGATATGAAAAGTAACAGGGAAACTTCGGTAACCATCCGCCATAACAATTTAAGACCTGTCACAGGTTAGCGCGTAATTAAGTGCCAAAGAATTGAGCCAGCAGGAGCTAAGGAAGGTGATGAGAAGGGCTGAGCACAGACTGTGGCAATCAGAGAACATTTTCAGTAAAATGAAGCAGAATCCAAGTTAAACTTTGGAAGATGGGTGGGATTTTGCAGAGACTCAAAGAAGGGGGAGGGTTATGCAGATGGTTGGAACCAGAGCAGACAACGGGTGTCCTCCCAACTTCACTAGTCTATCCCTGTCCCCTCATATTCTATTCCTTCGACACCCTGAACAAAGCTTGGTACGTAGTTGATGTACAATTGATATTTGCCCGATGAACAAAAAGTGTATGATCACACCCCAAGTTCTGGGAGTCTTTCTTAATTTTGTCCAGGGTGAGGCTGACAGCCTAATGGGCTCCTGGTCTATGTGGTCTGCTTTACTGGAGAGGAAATGGGTTGAAGGGAAAGGTGGGGAGGAGGGGAAGGAACTGATCCACCTTGGAAGGGTCAGTGTTTCCAACATCATCTTTCTTCCAGGGCTGAAAGAACCCTAGGCAACATACTCAAGAGCAAAAGATGGAGGTGAGACTGTGTTTGGAGGGGTTGCTGGGGAAATGGTCATCCCAAATCCCTTTTCTTGCTTCTCTCTCTTTTTCCAGGAGATCAAGCTATGTCATCACCACCAAGATTTTTTGGGGGGGACAGTAAGTGGCTGCCACACTCTATTTGGGGAGAGCTACAGAGAACATGTGAAGGTGCATGGGAGAGGTGTGGGTATGGCTGCCACCCCAGGTCTGCAGCCTGCCCCTGAGGACCCGTGCAATCCCAGTCCCTCGTGGCGCCAGGCCAGCCCTGTTCCCCTTTGTCACACCTCATCTTTGACTTCCCTTTTCCTGCAGGGCAGAAACCGAGCGAGGCCTGAGCCGCAAACACATCATCGAGGGTGAGAGTTAGGGGCTGGGAACAGTGGCTGGGTACAGAAGCCAGAAGAGTTGGGAACATCCTCTGAATCTTTGAGTTGGAGGCTCTGCATAGGGGAGCTGGGAGTTAGGCGGCCATGGCAAGGGGGTAATGTCTGAATCCTGAGCAAAGGGAAGCTGAAATACTTACCTTCCTCTCCCCCACCCCTCCCCCAGGCTTGCAAGGATCCCTGGAGCGCCTCCAGTTGGGATACGTGGACATCGTCTTCGCCAATCGCTCAGACCCCAGTAGTCCCATGGAGGGTAAAAGCAGCACCCCCACCCTGGCCATCCTTCAAAATGGCACTTCCTCAAACTCTCAGCAGGAAGCCAGTCCCTGCTCATGAAGCCTCCCAACCTCCAGAGTGGAGGCTCAGATCCCAGGTCCTGGACCGTGGGGGGGGGGGGAGGTGAAGAGCAGATACCAATCTCTCTGATTACACAAGAGATGCCCGGGGTTCTTGGTGGGGCAGGCTGAGGTCCACAGATCTAGAGCCCTGGATGTCAGGGGTCTGACAGGGAGGTTCTCTCTCTCTCCCGTGTGCCTAGAGATTGTGCGAGCCATGACCTACGTCATTAACCAGGGCCTGGCCCTCTACTGGGGGACATCCCGGTGGGGAGCCGCAGAAATCATGGTGAGTGTGCCACCCCACTTCCTCCCGCTATCCTACGACCGGTCCCCCCTTTTCACATGGCCACCCCAAAACCCACTCTACTGGAGGAGGGGGAGTGGAAGAAAGTGGGAAGAGTGCTCTGATCCGCACCCCCCCCCCGTCTCTTCCCTGCCCCAACCCAGGAGGCCTACTCCATGGCCAGACAGTTCAATCTGATTCCTCCAGTGTGTGAGCAAGCCGAGCACCGTCTGTTTCAGAGAGAGAAGGGGGAGATGCAGCTGCCAGAGCTCTACCACAAGATTGGTTCGCAGCCCCCATCCCTACCTTTCCCTTGGCCAGTCCGTCACCTAGATCCCCAACCCCACATCCAATCCTCTTGCCCTTAGGTGTTGGCTCGGTTACCTGGTCCCCTCTGGCCTGTGGCCTCATCACTAGCAAGTATGAGGGGCGAGTCCCAGAGACCGGCAGGGCCACCATCAAGGTGAGATCTGGGGGCTCAGGATGGCAGCACTGGGCCATCTGGGCAGATCCGGGTGGTGCTGATTCTCCTTGGCCTCCAGGGCTACCAGTGGCTCAAGGACAAAGTGCAGAGTGAGGGTGGCAAGAAGCAGCCACAAGCCAAAGTCATGGACCTTCTTCCCATGGCTCACCAGCTGGGCTGCACTGTGGCGCAGCTTGCTATTGGTGAGACGCCGCCAGCCCTGGACCCTGCTGGGGGGTCCTCACCTCCTGCCCGGACACCCCCAAACCCAAGACTGGTTTGTCCCTAGGGAGGACCCTCTTCCTCAGAGACACTCCTCAAGTGTGGGTGCTGAACTGTGGGTGTTCCCCTCAGTTCTCTTTCTTCTCTCCTCTGGCCCCAGCGTGGTGTCTCCGCAGCGAGGGTGTCAGCTCGGTCTTGCTGGGGGTGTCAAGTGCAGCGCAGCTGCTGGAACATCTGGGAGCCCTGCAGGTGAGCTGGGGACTCAGAGGCAGAGCCCATCTCTGCCCCCCCCCCCTTCCCCAGCTGTCCGACCCGGAACGGGCTTGGGAGGTCAGCCACTACAAAGTCCTCTCACTCCGCAGAGAGGTCCCGGGGCGACAAGGGGAGGCTCTTTTCCCGCCACCTGGCCCCGCTGCGCTGCTCCCCTCCCTGGCCCTCGAACCCCATGCCCTTCTTCGGTGAGCCAGCACGAAGTGTCCCCTCCACCACCGCCTTCCCCTCCAGGTGCTGAGCCAGCTGACGCCGCAGACGGTGATGGAGATAGACGGGCTTCTGGGGAACAAGCCGCCTTCCAAGAAATAGTCCGTCGGGGGCGCAGGCAACCACATCCGTGCGGCCGCCGCCGCCGCCTCCCTCCCGCCCCGGATCCCTCCACGCCGCGGCCGCAGCCAGGGGGGCCCCGCCCCCTAACGAGTCCCGGCTTCGAGTAGCGATGCGCATGAACAAAGCCATATCCTCCGCAGTGGGGCTCGAGAGGGAAAGTAGTGCGCCGTCCCCGTCCATGCGCTCGCTCCTCCAGGCCTTCTTGCTAATCCTGGGCATGAACCACCGGGCCGGCTCCTCTCTGCCCCTTGGTCTCCCTCCCTTTTCTTCTTCCCCTAATCGCCGAGGCCCAGAGGAAGACAAAAAAAAAATACAAAAAACGGCAGATACAGGAAACTTGCACATTACCTCAAAAGTGGCCCTTGAGATGTCATCAAGGGATAATAACCTAATAAGAAGGGAGTAGTGACGTCATCTGGGACAAAGGCACTGGGGCTCTTATTCGGTACAAAGGAAGCCAGGCTGGTCCTGGCAGGAAGTGAACGGTAGTCTTTGAGGACCCTGCCTCCCAGCAGAAGGTGGAGGGGCGCTTAAATAAAAAAGTGTCAATACTTCGTTCTTGCAAAGAAGGGGGTGGGGGGCGGGGAATGCAGTGACACAGCACTGACGCAGGTAAAGGGAAGTGTGCTGGCAAAGCGGTTGGGGCGGGCTTGGGGAAAAGCTGGGCTGTGCTTTGCAGGACACGGTGACAGCCTTTAGGTCATGGTGGAGACCTGGGGGCTGGACTGAAAATGTCTGGGGATAGACTTTTGAGCCTGGAGCAGGATTTCCTACCTAGCAGTGGAGGGCTGCAGTCTTCCTCCTGGCAATAATCTTAAAGCAATAATGCCGGCCCCTCATCTGTAAGACTTCTCCCAGGGAACTGTAAATAAAATCTCAGCTTGATCCTCACTCCCGGTGTCTGAAATTGCAGGGGTTGGGAGGGTAGGACCTCAGTCTCAGATACCTGGCCCTCGTCTAGCTCCCTGCCATTAGAAAACTCCAGCGCTAGCTTTCTCTCCACTGACCAAGGCATCGTACTGCTAGTCACTGCCAGTCACCGCCCTCACTGAGGACCCAGGTCCCCAGATACCCCAGTCCCCGGTTTTCTTCCTTCCTTCCGTCACCGCATTCCCTCAGAGCCCAGAGATCTGGCTTCATAGTTTTGTTATTCCTCCCTTTGACACTCTTGCCTTTGTTTTGCTTAAAGTTACATTAGCCATAGTTCTTGTTCCTGTACTTCTCATTTCCCTTTTCCTGATACCCACACGTAGACCAAGGCACTGTCCGGGTGGTTTTGTTGTGGCTGAGTGGGAGGGGCTGATGCGAGGTTGAGGCGCTGGGATTTGGGGAAGGAGAGGTAAGATGAAAACTGGCCTATGGTGGAGATGATGCAGGGGTGGGGGGGAGGGAAAGGGGTTATCATAAAGGAAAAAGGGAAGCAGAAAACCAGACTCAAATGTGATTATGTCGGATACGATCCCTAACCTTCCCCCAAAGGACTCTGATTTCCCTGAGACACAAAGTGGATGGAAAGTTACAACCTTTAAAGATCACAAGACAGGGGAGGATGCACGCTGCCTTCCTTAAAATACAACCTCCCCATCTCCCTTCTACTCATCCTCACCCTTCCTCGATCCTGAAGCTGAGAAAGCAGCAAAAAACCAATTTCCAAAAAGAGAAAAGCCAGCAGCCTGCCATTTGCTGGCTAGCAACCAACCAGATCAACTAATGAATAGTTACATCCACTCCTAACATCTCCCACTCGTTTTGCAAGACTGCGGAGGAAACAAGGAGGTAAAATATATGACTAAACTGTGGTTAGTTATTCTGTAACAAACATACAAGAATTCATAAATTCAAAATAGTATTCTCTTTAAATGGTTATTTTGGAAGACTCCTCCTTTATTTTAATAGAAATGTCTCCCCCCTTGCTCAAAACGTTAAAAAGAAAAAAGTCCTCTTAGGAATTACCTTCAGAGGCTGTTTGTAAAGCCCTCGTAAGAAACCTTCCTTCATTGCCACACCTCATTTACCGTATTTATCACCCACCTCATTCATTAACTTAACAAGTATTTATTTATCGAATCCCACTATGGTACGGGGATACAGTGGTGAACAAAACCAGACTCAGAACAACCTTTGTGGAGTTTCCGGATGAAAAAAAGAAACAAACAACCAGCAAACAAACACAAATTGCAGGTGTCCAAAGTCCAGAGACAAGCACGGGCTACTACCAGAGTCTACAGTGGTATCTGAAAGGTGAGGCTGCACTCTGCGGTGAAGGATCAGCAGGTGTTGTTAATAAGGTGGAAAGCAAGAGGGCTAGGGGAAGCGTGCAGAAGGGAACATGCACGCCACCCAAGTTCTCCAAAGCTAGAGGGTCCAAAGAGAACATGGAAGCAGAATGGGAGACATGAGTAGTTCAGAACACATAAGACCTTATCGGGCACTTCGGAATATTATCTTTATCCTAAGGGCAATAGGAAACAGTCCATATCTGTTGTTACAAAACCCCCCCCCCCAAATTTAGTGGCTCGAAACAACTTTTTAAAATTTTATTTTTACCCCCATCATTCTGTGGTTTGGCTGGTTTCCCTGCTCTTTCAACCTGGGCTCACATGTGTGGCTGGATTGAGCGGGCAGGTCAGCTGAGGGGGAGCATCAGCGGCCTCACTACTACATTTGGCCATTGGCTGGGACTCCTCAGTTCTCCATGTAGCCTCATCTGCTGGTAAATTCCCTTACATAATAGACTCAGGGCAGGGATCCCAAGGGATGAAGGCAGAAGCTGCAAGGCCTCTGACAGACTGTGCCCCAGAACTCACACAATGTCACTTCTGCCACTTTCTATTAGTCACAGGAAGTCACGAGGTGAGCCCAGATTCCAGGAATAGGGAAACAGACCCGAATTTTTGACTGGAGAAGCAGCAAAGTCCGATGGCATAGGAATTCGGGGCTACTAAACTATCACCACATTAAAATATATTATTTATTTTTAAGATTTTATTTATTTATTTGACAGAGAGATACACAGCGAGAGAGGGAACACAAGCAGGGGGAGTGGGAGAGAGAGAAGCAGGCATCCCGCCGGGCAGGGAACCTGATGCGGGGCTCGACCCCAGGACCCTGGGACCATGGCCTGAGCCGAAGGCAGACACCCAATGACTGAGCCACCCAGGCGCCCCTCACATTAAAAGATTTTAAACAGGAATGGAAATGGTTGTGGTAGGACCTGGTTGGGCTTGAGATCTGGAAAGATCACTGGTGATCTGGTGAAGAGGCTCCTACCAGGGTCTAAGCAAGAGATGGTGGCAGCCTGGACTGGGGTGGTGTACTGAAGATGGATAAAAGTAGGTGGATCAGGGAGACATTTAGGAGGCAAAACGAACAGGGCTTGCTGAGAAGTTGGTAAAGGAAGGTGACAGTGGCGGGGGAAGAGGGGTCAAGGATGACTGCTTTGGTTTCTGGAGCTGGGTAAAGAAAGAGGTGGGAGGGGCGCCTGGGTGGCTCAGTTGTTAAGATTTTATTTATTAGAGGGGCGCCTGGGTGGTTCAGTTGTTATGCGCCTGCCTTCCGCTCAGGTCATGGTCCCAGGGTCCTGGGATCAAGCCCCACGTTGGGCTCCCTGCTCAGCGGGGAGCCTGCTTCTCCCTCTCTCACTCCCCCTGCTTATGTTCCCTCTCTCGCTGTGTCTCTCTCTGTCAAATAAATAAATAAAATCTTAAAAAAAAAAAAAGGAAAGAAAGGGGTGGGAAACGCTGGAGGAGGTGCGGACTTGGGACAAGGGAGATCATCATTTTGGGTTCCTGAAGACAAACAAGAAAGGAAGGTCTGGAGCTCAGAGAGGCTTTGGCTGTCAAACACTTTGGAAGCATTTATATAATCATATCTACCCTAAAAGTTTAAGATGTAATCACCAACCGAAGATATTAAAAGATGTGAGGATAGGGCGCCTGGGTGGCTCCGTCCGTTAAGTGTCTGCCTTCGGCTTGTGTCATGGTCCCATGGTCTCAGTGTCTCAGGGTCGTGGGATTGAGCCCTGAGTCAGGCTTCCTGCTCAGTGGGGAGTCTGCTTCTCCCTCTCCCTCTGCCCCTCCCCCTGCTCATTCTCTCTCTCAAATAAATAAATAAATAAATAATCTTAAAATAAGTAAATAAAAGAAGATTTGAGGAGACCTCGGAGCAACATTCCAAAGAGAAGTTGCCAAAAAGTTTTGAATTATGACAGCATCATTGGCATAAGTGGATAACTTCCCCCACGGGACCGTGAAGACAAGACAACTCAGAAGTTCTGAACTGTTTCCAAATAATGGTATACCTCCTCACGAAAGATTATCCTTAAGGGTTGTAGCAATCTAGTTAAAAAACAAAACCAGCTCTACATTGCCTGTGAAAGCCAGCAAACGCCATGTGAGTAGAGAAGCCCACCTTGTATTGACCAAAAGAGACGGGTGTTGCAAATGTTGGGTATTGAGAAGTCAACAGAACATAGGCTGGGAGCACAGGATAAAAGCAGCTAACACGGCCTGTTTTCTGTGGGCCAGGCCCTATTCTAAACACCTTGCATATATAAGCTCATTCAATACTATATTACCCACATTGTATAAATGAGGAAACCATCCAGCCCAGAGAAGTTAGGTAACTTGCTCGGGGGGTCACAGCTCCTGAGCGCTGGAGGCTAGGATCTGGTGGTCGAGTCTGCGCAGAACCTGGGCTACAGGTCCAGGAGAGGAGGGTGAGGAGGCAGCTGGAGGTGGGTGTGGTACCACGAGGGAATGTGGGCTGTGTGTTATGTCCTGTTTACCTGTGGGGCAAGTCAGACCCCTGAGTCAGAGCTCAAGCTGGGCATGATTTGCTGAAACCATCATGGTGTGTGGGTGTTCGGGCCTGGCTACTCCGGAAGAAAAGGATTCCCAGCATTCCTGGGAGGAGGGCCACCCATGGCCCTGGCATCTAGGGGTCTCCATAGGCTGAGATGTCAGCTGAGAGCTGAGCAGTTTGAGAATGAGTTTGGGAAGCTGGCCTTACCAGAACCCAGGGAGGGAGAGTATAATGATGCGCGTTAAGGGCCGCACCCGTGCCAGTGCCCAGAAGGCCACTAAAGATTGGGCAGAACGGGCAGTGCCATCGGCTTGGGCGGTCTGTCTGGGTGGGGCTGTGAACGGAGAGTGCACAATTAAACCAACAGCCCCGGCGGGCTGCGGAGTCCCGGGTCAGCGGGCGGCCGAGGGCTGGGGCGCGGCACGGGCCTGGAGATTTGCACACAGACTCAAGGAGCGCCAGCTCGGCCTTGCGGGGCGGGGGGGGGGGGGGGGGGGGGGGGGGGGGGGGGGGGGGGGGGGGGGGGGGGGGGGGGGGGGGGGGGGGGGATGAAGGAAGGCGCGGAGAGCGCGAGGGGCGGCGCGCCTCCCACCGGCCTCGGCCGCGCAGCACCGGGGCCGCCCACCCCGCCCGGCCGTCGCTGGCATCCCCGGCTTCGCGCCTCCACCGCCCCCACGCGTGCCGCGGCGGGGAGCGGCCTGACGGCGGCGTGACGCCTCGAGGGGCGGGC